GCAGGATACTGGTCCGTACTCTTAGATGAAGATAGCCAACCCCTAACCACATTCCGCACACCCTTTGGACGATACTGCTGGACACGTTTACCTTTTGGTTTGTCTATCAGCCAAGACATCTTCCAACAACGCATGGATGAAATCCTAGAAGGACTTAAAGGAGTTGTTGGAATTGCTGATGATGTCTGTGTTTTTGGATCCAGCAAGGCAGAACATGACGAACATCTGTTGAATCTCATGTTCCGAGCAGTAGAGAAAGGACTTGTATTCAATTCGAACAAATGTATCATCAACCGCAAAGAGATACCATTCTTTGGAAACTTGTACACAGATCGCGGCATCATACCCGACCCTGATAAGATACGTGATATCCAAAGAATGCCTACTCCTCAAACCAAAGAAGATCTTCAACGATTTCTTGGAATGATGACCTACCTCAGTTCATATATACCAAACTACAGTTCCGAGAGCCAGTCTCTACGTGACCTCATACGAAAAGATGTACCATTTGAATGGTAGGAAGATCACCAAACCTGCTTTGCGAGTGAAATCGCTCATCACTACCGAGTCTTGCCTTTCCTACTACGATGTCAGTAAACCTCTCATTCTTGAAGTAGATGCTAGTCAAAAAGGACTTGGAGCAGCACTACTACAGGAAAAGCCAATTGCCTTTGCCTCAAAATCCTTGACGCCAACTCAAGCAGCCTATTCAAACATCGAATGAGAAGCTCTTGCCTTGGTGCATGGTATTAATCGTTTTCATGTCTATCTGTATGGCAGACGCTTTACAGTCATCACCGATCACAAACCACTTGTGATGATCTACCAGAAACCAATTACCAGTGCACCACTTCAGCTTCAGCGCATGTTTTTGAAACTAGCCGGCTACGATTTTGATCTAGTCTACAAACCTGGTCCAGAACTAGTCATACCAGATACCCTTAGCAGACTACCAAACCCAAAGAATTCAAGTGAAATACCTCTAGATGAATGTGTCGAAACGCTTGTAATTGATAGTGTCGACATAGACCTAATCAATTTTGGTACAACGAAACAAGATCAACTACGAAGCGAGACAACTGCCGATCCTGTACTCAACGGACTTCGTGAGACTATTCTTAC